GGCATTTTATCATCTGAAGTTTCTGAGTGGATGTGAGATAGCGTTTTTTGCTTCACCTCGGAAGTGCGAGCAGAGTGTGGGGCTCTGCAGAGCCACAGCAAGAAGGTGAGATGCTCGCTGCGGGGGTGAGGTCCTGGCATGCCCCAACAGAGACCTGCCACCACCGTGCACAGCTCAGGGTCTGGGTGGAGTGTGTCTGGATTACACCCTGCTCCGGTCTGCCTGGCCGGGCGTTACACATTGAGCAGGATGGGGTTGTGCTGGAGGATGGAGCTGGGTCCAGGGGCAGGGCCCCAGCCCCAGCCAAGCCCGTGCAGCAGGATGCCCAGCCAGGTCCCTCCATCGCTGCTGCAGCACTCAGGCGTGTGCATGCACCTGGCTCCCACCTTGTGCTCACAGGCATCCCACACTCCCTCCACAGCCTAGAGATGGGTAAGCCAGTGATGGGTCCTCAGACATCCAGCCCAGCCCTGCAGCATCCATCATCTCGGAGGTCGGCTGCTGTTTCTCATGCTGGCCTCAGGCCCAGGGCCACAATGCCATGCCTGGAGGTATTTGGTGCGGAGGTTTGTGAAAGCTCTGACTCACCGTGATCGATAGGCTCGTTCCTGGCTGCTCTCCATGCTGTTGGCGGTGTTTTCAGCTTCTGCCGGTACCAGATCAAAGCAATGAGAGGAATGCAGCTGAAAACAGCTCTTTATTAGAAACAGCAGTTTTAGGACTATGCAAGAGGGTATTTCTTATTACTAATTCTCAGAGCGCTGAGCTGCCAGCCTATAAAAGTATTGGAGAGTGGAAAATTGCTATGCGGGGGCTAATGGGACTTTCGCAGCCGCCACATAGGAAACATAGCAGCTAACAGACACGAGGAAGATGGCAGCTCCTGAAATGACAGGGAAAAATTAAGCTCTAATATTTTGCAGGCTGCCAGAATGAAGGAAGATCCCTATTTCCCTTTGAAAGCCACGGGAGGCAGAGATGCAGAGAGCAGCGTCTTGGTCTGCAGCCCACCCCCTGGATCTGCCGTGGTCCTGTGCCCACCCTGCTCTGCCCACTCTCCATCCTGCCTGTCACTGCAGCTGCCCTGCCAGTGCTCTGGGACAGCCCAGAGCCTCCCCAAATCCTTGCAGCCATCCCAAGCACTGTCCGGCGTGTGCCTGTGTATCTGGCAAGGGACCTGGGACTGTGGGGCCCGAGGCTCGCTGAGCGAGGCCCTGTTATCCAGCCACCCCTGTGCAAGGTGCCTTTACGATGGCTCTGTAGCTCCAGGCGGGTCCCTGGAGTGGCATGGAGCAGCAGCATCAGAGCTGTCCTGCTCGACCCCATCCTTCAGCCCAAAAAGGCTTTGTGGTTTCACAGGTCTGAGCTGCGAGGTGACCCAGGCCACTGGTTCCTGCTAGATCTCTCCCCACAGTGCTGGGCCAGCAGGTCAGGAGATTGGTGGTCTTAGCTGCTTGGCTTGGCTGGGAAGCCCACCAGGATGTGGGTAGGGACTATGGAAGCCCCAAAAGCTGTAGACTAAGCGTAATGTGTTTGGAGCATGTGCATAGAGAGGGCTGCAGGGCTGATAGGCTATAGAGATGTGAACTTGTTTGTTCAGACCTGTGTGATTTCTCCCCAGGCAGGAGCTTTCCTGTAGCTCAGCAGGTCGGGACCCAAGCACTGAGCGCCAATGGTGGTGGGGATGCCCAGGTCATCCCAGAGCCAAGCTCTGGGGCTGGGAGGCTGCAGAGCAAAACTGTTCCCACTTCATGTGCTAGTCTGGGAGTGCCCTCATCTGGGGACGCATGGCAAGTGTCTGCATTCAGGAAGTGCCATGGGCGCCCTGCTGAAGCTGAGCTGATGAAGCCATGTGTCACCCAGCTCTGTCACCAGGTCCCCTTGCTCCACAGGATGAACTCCCCTGTGTTGGATGGCAGAGCCTGACAGCTCGCCCCTGCTCTTCCCAGCAATGGGCTCAGACAGGGTCTGTGAGATATGGCCAGTCCTTGTACTCCCCATCCTCCTGATGCACGTCAGGGGATTTCTGGTGTGTGGACAAGGAATGGACTAGGTGGCTCAGCTCAATGCCTTCCCACTCCCCTTGCACTGCTCTGGGCACACTGATCTGTAGTTCTCTGCCCACAAAGACCGCTCATGCTCCCAGTGATACACAGCACAGGCAGAGCTGCCCTCTGAGCTGGGTGCACATCATCTCGTCTGATGCACACATGAGTTTCAAGGGGGTTTCCATGCTTTCTCCCCGTGGCGACCCTCTCCGGGCTATGCTTCCTGCTTGTGTACTGACAGCAGAAGTGATGAGCCTGCCTCCAGGATTTTTCATTACATGGCATGAAACCTGGCATCCAGGGGATGGGAGCAGCTGGTAAACAGGCTAGATATGGATTTTTGTTAGGACAAAGGTCCCAGCTGAGCGGCGTGCCTGGTCGGGATGGATGAACATTTTGCCTCATCTGCCTCCCAGTCTGATCTGTGCCTGACAGACAGGGATTTGCAGACAGAAGTAATGATCTCTTGTTAATGCACCTTCAACCACTTTATGAAAAATGAGAGCCTGTACCTGGGCGTGCAGACACTGTTGTCTCCCTGTTTTGTGGTCAGCAGGGTCATGGTCAGCCTTTTGGTTAAAAATCAGATGCTTGGGCTCCCAAGCATCCTGTCCAGTCTTCTTCAGGAAAGGCTCCATGATGTCCCACCTCACAAGAGAAGAGGACACAAGAGATTGAGAAACATAGATCTCCCACCAAGATTTCAAAGGGACTTTCCTCATGGCACCTCTGAAGAAGGTACTGCTCAACCTGGCTGAACCCCAGCATTCGTAGGGGTAGGAAAGGGCACCGAACGAACCTTTCTGTCTCCTCTCCAAGGAGCAGAGTTTGGGTGATGTGTCCGGATACTCTGGGATGACAGACAATGTTGCCTGGGGAATCAGCCAGCCGGGGACGTACAAACCAAGCATCCCTCTAGACTCAATATTCTTCCAACACCCTACATGGAGATGAGGGAATTGCAGCTCACATGCGGAGTGAGTTGTGCATGCTGGGTGGCCTGGTATGGTCTGTGATGGGGTGAGCTCTGCTCATGGTCACAGGGCTGGTACAAGCCTCCCCGACAGCCACAAGACCTGGCGCTGCGACACCAGCCGACTGCACTGTGAGCCAGGGGCTTTGCTGCAGCGTGGTGCACTGTTGTGCACCATTGTGTGCAGGCCAGTGCCCCAGGGGACCACAGGCAGCAGAGCCAGCATCTGCTGGGCTTGGGGCTGATGACACCCGTTCGCATCCACCCTGTGGTCCTGGTCCATACGTTCTAGTATCTATCAGTGGGTTAAGCACGAGATACTCTGGGCTTCCTGATGCTGGAGAAAAAGTCAGTTGGGCAGAGCTTGAGCCCTGAAGGAGAGCATGACCCCAGCCCTGTGATCTGCTTGCGCAGCCCCTGCAAGCGGCCCCAGTGTGGCACACTGCCTGATGCTTCTGGGAAATGAGCAGGCACAGGGGCTCCTCTTGTCACTTGGTTGACTCATGGGGACTTCCAGAGCTTTAGTAGCTTGACCACGTGTCTGAGGCAAAGGAAATACAAGGCCAAGTGCTTGGGATTGCTCAGCTCCCAGAGCTTGGTGGGAGCTTCCTGGGGGCTGTGCACAGGCAGGCACTGGAGGAAGGATGGGTCAAAGGGTGAGATGCTGCAAAGCCCCCAGCACACCAGCTGGTTGTTTCTGTGGTTTTTCCAGATGGGCACCACACACGCGTGATGGGGCTGCTGTGCCACGGCAGGTGGAAGACCTTGATGCAGTCCTCTGGAAGATGGTGGCAGTGGGTGAGCTCCAGAGCCAGGGATTTACCCGGACAGACCAGGCCCCTCAGCAACCCAGCAAGAGAGGTGAGTGCCCAGCTCCCAACGGGTCCTGGGGCCTGACCCACCACTGACCTGCAAAGAGGCCATGGCAAGCAGGGGCTGGGCTTGGGGTGGAGGGTGCTCATGACTTGGAGTGGAGGGTGCCTGTGTTTTGGGGTAGAGGGTGTCCATGGTATATACTAAGGCATTCAAATCCCAGGCTGTGCCCCTAGAACTGACTTTAAAGCCAAAGGAGAGCCTGGGAGAAGAGATGGACGCCTCCCTTCCTTTAAACTTTTCAGCTGTACCCAAGGACTGCTGCAGCTCCTTGCATGGGTGTCTTTCCCTTTTTCTCCCAGCTTGCTTCTGGAAATACTGTGTCACCAAATGAGGGGTACAGGAGGAGCTCTGCCTGCCACCTGCCTGCCAGCCCGCTCCCTGCCACCACTATCCCAGTGCCGTCTGTCGGGCCCATCCATGCGTGACCCCACACCTTGCTGTAGGCTGGTTTGCACAGGGCTTTGAAAGGTCTCCAGTCCCTTGTGGGGAAAAGGGGAGAGGGTCTGCAGCAGAGGAGGGGTGTCATGGGGTAGGGGGAGAGTCCCATGAGGATCCGGGCTGCAGGACAGTGTTTCTGTTTCACAAGCGAGGCATATTAAAATATAGTTTATTGCTGTTCTTAGTTTAAAAAACCCAAACAAACCAAAACCCATTAATAACAAAACCAGTCCCCAAACCCGGAGCTGTCAGAGGCAGGCTTGCAAGGACACACCTTTTAGTGCAAGGGGAGAGGGTCTGCAGCAGAGGAGGGGTGTCATGGGGTAGGGGGAGAGTCCCATGAGGATCCGGGCTGCAGGACAGTGTTTCTGTTTCACAAGCGAGGCATATTAAAATATAGTTTATTGCTGTTCTTAGTTTAAAAAACCCAAACAAACCAAAACCCATTAATAACAAAACCAGTCCCCAAACCCGGAGCTGTCAGAGGCAGGCTTGCAAGGACACACCTTTTAGATCAAAAACACAAGTGGCAGGG